TACTTCATCCATTATTCTTTGTTCTATGTACCTTCCGCTGAACACAGAAAACGAAGAATTTCGTGACTTTGCTGCTTAAGATCAAATTGAATTCAAACTTCAAAATATGAAGTTTCAACTTCTCGGGACTTTAGGTTCTTGCTTATAGATGAATACGATAAGCGCACACTGGGGTTTTGCATTTTAATGAAATATTATGTGAATGGATCCACAAATCGAGGGCAAACAGCTTTTTCCAGAGAATTTTTCTAAAATTATGCGAAAATTTGCTAAATCGTACTACACTCTATTTGGGCCATCACGCAGTATGAATAATGAGGAATCTTTGCATTGAAGTTTACTGTACTGCGAAGTTCGAAATTTCTTTTTAATCTCCATGCAACTTTCCATCAAATTACCCTGCATTTTGTGCCCTTTTTGGTTGCGTGAATTCTTTTTTTATCAGAAAAAGTTCATTTCCCGTCCACAGCATGGGGACAACTCAAATATTGATTCGCAGCGTCAGTTTCTTATGGTTTGACCAAATGGCCAGAAATGAATATTTTCCACATTGAGAAAAAGCTATATCCAACGTGTATATCGAAGAATATTATAGACACTGTCCTCTTTATTTTAAGAATTATCTCTTGGATGTTTCGGTGCAAATTTTTGTGCAAAAGAAGGTTTTGAATATCCTTTTGTTAATTTTCAAATCATAGAATCAGCCTGGTGACTGTAAAGATAATTTTTTAGAAATTGCTGGTGATTCATACTCAGTTTTATTATTATAAACACCAGCATTAGTTGTTGAAGGCAGATAGGAAATGTAATGACCAACATCTTCAATCTAAATTGGAAAGGAAGTGCCCATCCTGAAATATATGGGAATATGATGGGAATTTGTCTTGGAATCCCTAACCCAAGAAACAGCGTTAAAATATTGCAGCTGAGGCTTGCGCGAATGACAGTTGCATGCCAATTCTATTTTATAGACATAGCATTTCTGATTCTGTATCCCGACAGAGCTTTTAACCCTCCTGTGGTGATATTTTAGCAAATTGGTTATTTTAGTAAAATAGTATAACCACAAGCACTGAAATGGAAAAACAAGCTCCGTAAGTCCAAAAAAGTATATATCTTTTCCTCTGCCAGAATAACATTTTTGCTGAAAAATGGATAGGTTTATTTCCTGCATTCTCAGCATAGGATTAGCATTGAAGATTTCTGAAAAAAAGAGAATGGTGCATCCCAGATTTTACCCTAAGCCCTCTGAAATTAGATGCATTTTGGTGATTTTGGTCAAACTAAAATGCGCCTGTGAACAAGAACATGTTTACATTCCCCTGGGATGGAATGAAGCCCGTCACAGTCTGAGGGTTCTTATAACTTTATTCTGGAAGAAAATTCACACTGTACCTGGTTTCCATGGTGTTGATGAGGACTGTGGGGCATGTTGGTAATGATATTATTTTAATGAACCACCCAGTTGCATTCCAAGAACCAGTGCTTTGGTCCTATAGGCCTCAGCATTAAAAAACCAGTCCCAAAGGGCTATTACAACAATTTTGTTCTTTGTCTTTGATTCTGGCAAAATCAGCCAACCAGAAACACACACTCATGGATAACCACTTTTCTCCTCTTCCTTCTCCATCCCAAACAATGAAGCTCAGTATTCATCCCACTGCCAATTCTCAAGCTGTTTAGAGCTAAAAACATTCAAAATTCCTGAAAGACTTTGTGTGTGTGTTTGTGATTATGTTCTTCAAAATTCACTGAGTCACTAATTTCTGTTTTGGGACATTATTAAATACCCAATTGTTTTTGGAAGCCTCTATGCATAAAGAGGTTGCCAGCCCATCCCAGGCTGGTTGCAGTGTTTGATTCATTATTCTTACACATGGTCAAGAATAATTTGGCTCCTGAATAAGTCCTGAGGAATCTCTTTTTTTTCTTTCAATAACTAACAAAAAATGGCATCAATAAAAAAGAGAGCTGGTCTTGCTGACAGTTACATATATTTTTCCTCCAGTAAAACGAGTCACCCAGGAGCGGATTTCCAGCTTGCTCAGCACTGCTAGCGTCGAACAACAGTGTGTCCCGGTATAGTCTTGCCATTTTTCTTTCGAATTTTTTTTTCCCTCTTGCAGTGCACATAAAGAACAGTAAACGCGGAAGACAAGACAAACGGTATTTCGTCTAGCAAAACAAGCTAATGAAATCCTGTCGCACCTGTGATTCCATTCCAACCAACCGAACTAAAAAAAAAAGGATATCCAAATAAATCTTGTTTCATCCGTCGGAAACGACCAACATGACGTTTTCCGTCGAATGCTTTGATCAAAATCTGTTCGCAGGGGATGAATGTTTTTTTTTCTTTAAATAGGTCCAAAAAATTCATCACCGTGGATGAGAAATCGAATCGTGACGAGAATGAAGAAAAAAACAAACCCGGAAAAGCCTTTCGAGATTTTTAGCGCCAAAAAAAAGAAGACTAGAAAAAAACCGTATGCCCATCATGGAAAATCCTTTTTTTTTTGCGATGTGATCAATTGCTATCGTATAAAAAACCGCTTCAACCCGAGTGTGTTTTCTTCCGGCAAATGAAGCCTAATTTTTTGCGAACTACGGAAAAAGAAATTCTCCTCGCTTCACAACGACGTGAAAAATTTCTAGGTTAACGTCACCGTCATAATAACGTTCTAATATTCTTTCCCTTTTCTTTTCTTTTTTTCTGTTACCTGCATCACGTTGCATCGAGACAATAACAATTCCACCACCTTGTGAACATCTAAAACACTTTCTCCGCTTTTGGTCATCGCGTAGAAAAAGGGGAACGAGTCTCTCTCATCAACTGAACAGCGAACTTCTTTTTCAAACCGTGAGGCCTACCTTTCGAATCTTCTCACCTTGTGGCAGTGCGCTTCTTCAGGCACATTTTCCGAGATCGGAATGTATAGAAACAAGACAACGAAAAAAGAAACGCTTCAACAACGTCATTCACGCAGAAAGGAAACAAGATAAACGCCTTCATCGAGCTGAAAGTCAACGCGCGAAATGTGCTTGAAGAGTCACAAAAAAAAGAAAAACGATGAGGTTCCTCTTTTCTGTTCTGTTTTTCGCCCCCCATTTGCAATATATTGAGTTTCTGGAAAAGAAAAAAAAAGGTCTTTCTTTCTCTCACGCGTTCTTTCAGACTTTTCTCCTCCTCTTGAATTAAACCGTCAGTCTTCGTTATGTTTCCAAGCAATACCCCGGAACTTTCGTTCAAAGATATGTATTAATACTCAGTATTGCTCTTCATCCCCCCCCCC